GGCAGCTGTAGCAGCTCCGCGCCTCCGCGCCCGCCCCAGTAACGACGTCCAGGCCTTAAAGGGGAGGCTAGGCTTGTCCTCCGACTAGAAAAGTAGACTCAGGCTTGTCGCTTCCGGGGCAAGGCCAGGAGCGGGCTTCCCTCCCCGCGACCCTTCGGGCCGGCGGTTATTGTTTGGCTTTTAGCAAGGATGGGTCACGTCTCCCGAAATCACTGGGTGATGCCGGTCAACAAGGGCTTCGGAAAGACGAGATGAGAGGAGGGGAGGCTAGGCTTGTCCTCCGACTAGAAAAGTAGACTCAGGCTTGTCGCTTCCGGGGCAAGGCCAGGAGCGGGCTTCCCTCCCCGCGACCCTTCGGGCCGGCGGTTATTGTTTGGCTTTTAGCAAGGATGGGTCACGTCTCCCGAAATCACTGGGTGATGCCGGTCAACAAGGGCTTCGGAAAGACGAGATGAGAGGAGCTGTTGCTTTCGGCAGAGCAGACCCAGCGCGAGCAGCAGCAGCAGCCCTGGCTTCCCTCCGCAGCCCCGCGGCGCTCTGCCCAGGGGTGATGGCCTCTGGCTCTGGGAGGGGAGTCAGCGGGCAGGGCTGAGATTAGAGGCAGAGACTTCCTCAGGTGCTGGGAAAGGCCGGGGCGGAGGTCAGACTAGCGCCGGCAGGAGACAGGAGGGCCGCTCTGACCGCTGTAAAGCAAAGAACCCGCAGGAGCAAGCGGTATCAAAGAAGCTGATCCAGGGAATGAGATAAGAGCCCACAGCCCCTGTCTAAATCGTGCTTAACGTAGTCCAGTGTGTGGATGGTTTCTTGTTGTGTGGGAGGATAGTTCACGTCTCTTCTCTGCAGTGGTGGTACAGCCCGGTGCGTAACTGTAATTAAAATGCCTAATATTGACAGGTCGGCCCCATAAGCCATGATTTGCACTAGGGCAGGGGCGGGCAATTCTTGTGGGTGGAGGGCCGCGTACGGAATTTTGGCACGTGGGGAGCCCTCCCCCTTGACAGGTAGCCTGCCCCTGGTTGCCACTTTGGGACCGGAAGTCCGGCCCATAACCTGACCTTTGCCACTGGAAGTCCCTTCTCTTGCCCCTGGAAGCATGCCTTTGGGGAAGAGGGTTTGCTATCTTAGAAGGAGAAGCGGGAACAAATTATATTCTAAAAATCAAACACCCATAGTAATATATTTTAATTTAATTTTAAAAAAATATTTCTGTACTTATTTGTGTGTTTGTGCTGTATAGGTAGAAGTGATTGCATAATAGCTCAAAATGCAGTCTTGTATAGTGTGTGAGGGGTGTTGGGAATGTGTGGAGGTGTGTGTGGGTATGGTATTTGTGGGATGTGTTGGGGAGAGTATGGCTGGGGTTTGCAGGAAGTGTTTGAGGGTATGTGGGGATGTAAATGGGAGCCCCATGCACACACCCCCCCGAGTTGGTCAGCACCCACCCCGCAACAGCCCAGGGCCCGAGCTGGACGCATCCCCACCACTGCAACAGTGTGTAGCCCGAGCGCACCCCGCACCCACTCTTCACTGCCTGGCTGTGGTGTGTCCTGCCACCCCTGGGCATGCAGCAGTAGCGGCGGGGACCAGCGCATGCAGCCACAACCCTACGCACCTCGCAGACTCACTTGTCGGAGCTGAGCAGTAGCAGCAGCTAGGTAGAAACTGCTGCTCAGTGCAGGGGAAAGTGGCCTCTCCCTGTCACCGTTGCCAGGCAGTTTTTGCTGTGACCACCTGTGTCCCAGCCGCCTGCAGAGGGTTCGGGATTGAGAGTATGGTCGGGGGTAGAAAGGTAAGAAAGGTTTATTGACTTAACAAAAACACAACTATGCGTAGTAACAAAACACACAATGACAGACAAAAGCAATTCGCCTCGGCAACTTATTGGCAGTCCCCTCTGATGCCGGATACACAGCAAGCTTCTCTTTCCACAAAGTTCAGCGAAGTCAGGCATCCCTGAACAGCGCTCTCTGAAGGACCCTGGAATGCAGTCTCTGGGCTCTTCGAGGTCCATGGGCCTACTGATTCAGGCAACAGCTACTAATCCTTTTCACAGCTGTATTTTCTTTCTGAATGGTTTTCAGATATTTCAGCTAATTTAAAGCTTCTGAATGGTTTTGATAACGTACAACCACTCAGATTCCTTTTACTTCAACTGTCCTTAAACTGACTAATAGCAGTACAAGCCTTGCATTCTTTTGATAAGGTAATTTTAACTACGCCACAGGGTTTTACTACTTTAAGGCTTTGCTAAATTTACTAGGCCTTACTTCATACAAGGCCTCACTACATCTTAGACTTTAATTAGGCTTTTAGCAACAACATATTGCTTGATATTTAAACAAATACAAAAAAACACTTAGTCTAATCTTTATAAAGCCTTCAGCAAGTACCTTTATCACACAGGCACACTTTTTAGCTGTCACACTCCACCCTTTGCTTGCTGAAGCACTATGATAACTACAACTGAGATGCTAAAGCCACATGCGCTACCTCAGGGAAATGGGGAGGGATCTATAAATTTAACTTGCATAGCATGGACAGATTTATGACAACAACTGTTAAAACACCATTTAGCTGTTGCCACTAGGGCAATACATGATGCTATGATGCTTAAGATGGTTAGTCACGTAGTTGAGGTGGCACTTGGTAACATACGAATAATACAAATTACATCATACCATTTACATGGCTCGGGCGCGTTGACAACCAGACTGATAATTCGCCCACTCTCTTGAGCAAGGAGAGCCAACTGAGTGCCTTGCCGAGTCTTTGCCTCAAGGTTTTGCAGCTTATTTTTCACTTCATTTCAGTATTTTAACCGTGGCATGTACATCTGACACCTATGAAGTGGGTATCATAAAGTTGAGAGGTATAGTCTCAGAGGAAATTTCTGGCCATTTTAGGGCAATAGTACGGTTACTTAATTGTAGTAGAGCAACGGCTCTACTTTTAGCTCTTAAGCAACACGAATTGCATAAAGTCCAGGTGGTACTATTTTCATGCAGCAAACGACCTGGTCTTTCCCAACAAACACATTGCCATATTGTTACATATGACACATTAGGTAACTCGTATACACAGGTTATGTTAGGTGGTCTGATAGGCCAGCCTCTCCGTAGGGTTCCTAATCTAATTAAGATGCTACTAATTTGAACTAAGGGGGACTGTGCTACATACTGAGGGCCATCAGGGGTAACTATTTCCCATATGGGACGATGCAGATTCTAGTCGCAAAGGCATCCTCCTCCTAGCCCCATGTTCAGCAAATAAGCAGTGGTCTAGTTTCTATCTTTTACTCTTTGCACCAGGAATGAACATTTTCCTTTATTACAACTTTCCCAAGTGGTAATTCAGGTACTTTGATGGGGTATTTCTTTTTAAATGTTTCAGGCATCTCATGATTTTTTAAGCCAGGGGGCTATTCTTTATTTTTAACGTTGTTTATTACCTGGGAAAAAGGCATATTTAATGATAACTGAACTTGTGCACAAGCAGTACTCCAAGTTTGATTTCTGTCTGCTTTAAAAGCAGTGTCTATCATGACTTAGGCAAGACAGGCTGTCTCTAATTTTACATTAGCTAGCAATTCATTAGTGTGCTCTAATGTTTTTCCTTTAAGCATGCCTCCCCTAGTGAGTAGCTCTACGGCTTGTCAGAGATTGGCTACTTTTTTAGTGTTTTTCTGGGATTTATCCAAGTTTTATACATTTATAGCTGAGTTAAGTCCATCTCAAAGATAACTTGGAGTATCTCTTTGTCTGCAGGACTTAAGTGCACTTATGGAATGGAAAATGACTGGCTATTCCCATTTAAGCAACTCTTCAGCTACTCGGGCTCCTGCTG